TTACTATTAAATATATTCCAGAATATTCTGCTGAAATTACTGAAATTTCGCCGAAATCACTAAATCAAAGGAACGAACATTATTAATTGATGAATCGGTTGACGACATAGTGGGAAGGAAACGACCATTACTCATTGGATCGGTTGATGACGTGGAGAGTGGAACGATCATTATCCATTGAATCGATTGAATATGTATGAGAAAGGAAAAGATCATTGTCAATTGATGAATCGTTTCGATAATAGACTTTCATGACCTTTACGAAGATATTGAAGAAGTACCTCATTATTTCAAAAAGATAATGAGAACATTAATAAAAGTCGAAAAATAATAAGGTGAAAAAGAATGTTATATCTGACTATTTCACGCCTGTTATTGTCGACGTGGATTCTGAGGTCTCTTCCGTCGATCAACCGCAAAGTAAATAAATTATGTTGAATTATCTGATGATGAAAATACTTAAATATTTTATGCATAATTGTTGAATCGCAAAATCGCAAAAGTATTAATTGTCGAACTTTTTTCCTTTTCCTAAAAGGTACGACCTTAAGGTGAAGATTTCACATGGGAAGTTAACAACGGTCCCCGTTCCCTAGTTATTGATAAGTCCGGAACGACCTTAACTAAAAAAAAAATATTTACAAAAGCCAATCAGCACATACTGCGTAGAAATATATAGTCCTACTCTAACGCTCCGGACTAATAAAACGAGAAAATTTCGTGTTCGATTTAAACATCGGAAAAATTTTATTTAATGTCGCTCTGTTACAATATAATAAACAAATTTAAATAAATATGCAGTTATTTTGTCAATAAGATAAAGAATATTCGTGGTATTTTTTCTTTTTTAAATTGCATAAACATAATAGGCTCAAAAGTCCATATCATCTATCTAACTATTACCCAAAAAATATAATTTAAAATACATTATCACGTGACAATTGTAAATAAAACCGAATCGCCACAGAAAATTTCGCCCGATACAGAAATTCTTTTTTCAAAAACCCAAGGTTTAACATTAACAATATATTCTCTCCCCGAAATCTCGCACACATAACACAGCACGTTTTTCGCGCGGTTGCTGGTCAAACTTTTATCCGTTATTTTTGAGAAGTTCATTAATGACAACACAACAATTTCTATTAGCTCCTACAAGTTCGCTGCATCCGCCTTCAGCAAAGGTGCCAGAGTTGTATCTCAATAATTCTCCCATGGAACATGTCGAGGTGTTCACGTTTTCCCACGTTGAAGACCTGCTGAGAACGACATACGCTTGTCCGGCAAAGATGAACGTTTTTTCTACGAAATCAAGTAACTTTTCGGAGACTATGTGCGGAAATCGAGTAGGAGCGGGCAATAGGTAAGATGATGATTATGTGTTGAAATACTCGTAGAAAAAATTAATTAATAACATCATGAAAATATTTTTTTGAACGAAAGCATAAGCAAAACGTTTTCGAAAAAAGAAATTGTCGAAATGTGTCGGAAGATGATCATGTCGACTGAATTTGCAATGGTTAGTATAGGCATCGATAGCAATAGCAATGTACTCTTAATGTTTTTTAACCCTTTATTAAATAAACCTTTATTTAATAAATATAGCCAATTTGTCGACTATGGCATAAAAAGATGATACATTTTGGGTTCCAAAGGAAAATCTATATTGTTCGTTTTAATACAACAATTAAGAGAAAATTCATTATTAATAATTTAGTATTATATATTGAAGGATTTATTCAATATTATTCTTATCAATATAAAAAATGGATAAGAAAGAATGTAGTTCTTAAATGTTTAAATATTACTAATTTAGTATTATATATCATGCAAACTTGTTTGAAGGATTTATTAAATATTGTAAAATGGATTAGAAAGAATGATGTAAATGTAGTTCATAAATGTTTAAATAAATCAACAAATTTAACGTTTCTAATGTATTTAAAAAGTTGATTAATACTATGCTAACTTGTATAAATGATGTAATTAGAGCTAATGATGGTTATATAAGATGATAAAAATAAAAAATTTTAAGTGAGCATCATCTATAAACAACCGAAATTTCAAATGGCGATAATTACGTGATTTATAAATTTATATCACATGACTTCGTAAATCACATAGCGCTTTATTGTTTTATTTTTATTTGTTTAATTCTGCTAATACATAATCGGGAATACAATCCATATAACGTTAACAGTATACTTCAAACTTGACCAAGAATAGTTACAGTTTTCTCAAGTAAACCTTTTTGCCATCCCTCAATATCATTTAATATAATTAATTTCACAATGGAACTTTGGATAAAAGATACATTTATACTTAGCTTCTAATATTATTTCTTCTAATGCACTTTTTTATGCTAAAAAATCAGATTACAATGAAATAATTTGTCACACATAACAATCTACCTGATTTTCATCATCTACCTTATTTTTACATAATGACGATCAGAATTTAATCCATCTTTTCATAAGCTACGCTCAATTAAAACCTGTTTTATTCCTTTTGGTTCATCATTTTTATTTACCATTAATTGATGCTGATTATTTGGTCTAATAACAGTATTTCTTAATTTTAATTGCTTTCCTTCAGATTTTAAATTCATTCTACTAGCCATAAGAATATCAGATTTAAATGTTGCATGATTTGGACTATCAAATGCAAACAATGCAACACAATTAGAAATAAGTTTTTTCAAAAATAGAAATGACTTTTAATTTAACTTGTTCTATTAAATGTTCACTTATCCAACCTTTTTGATTTTTATCTGATTGAAGATAAACACATACTTCTTTAGGTATAGAAGAATTTTTTTGAAATTGTTATACATCTAATTTGAGCTGATTATATTCCTCTAACAAAATTCACTAATCATAATAAAGCGGTCATTACCTTTTTTATATAATGACAATTCTCTAGATTTTGCCTATATTCTTTATTTCTATCATTAAAATAGAATACATATCATCATGTACAATAAGAATTATTTTTTTATCATTAAATCCTAGTATTGATGAAATCTGTTTTATATTTTCACCTTCATATTTTATCATAAACTTTTCATAATTATAGATTTTATATAAAAACAATTTTTAATATTTTATGATAATAAGATATTCATTATCATTATAATATATACTTATTATAATATATATAAATTAATTAATAGTAAATAATGAGCATATTATATAATAAAAATGAAATTTAATTACCTATTTTAGAATTGAAAAAAATAATCAAGTATATTTAACTAATATGTTACAGTTGCATACTAATAGTTTTTTAATTATTTTCAAATTAATGAGCAATTTTTACTTAATAAACTCTTTAAATTTTAGTGAAATTATTGTTTTACCTTGTAAATAAATTCAAATATAGCATTTTTTTTGCTATATTTTCATCTATTTTTTGATGTTTTCTTTAATAGCTTATTAAAAGACAATTATATTTTAGCTTAATATTAAATAATTTTTACTCTATAAGGTATGTTTATTTTGCAACCTTAACATTGGCTTATAACTTTCTATTTCTATTATTATCTAATCTTTTCAAATATTCAAAAATTATTCTTTTCTTATTATATTTAGTTATAGTTAATAACTTTTGTTATTCCTTAAGCTTAATCTTTAAATTTTTGATTCTTTTATTTAAATTAAATTGATATTATTCCTCATCTTTTATATTATATAAACCTTCTTTAAGATTTTTAAAAATTGATTGATATTTTTTTAAAAATATTATAATTTTAGTGATTTCTTTTGCAATTTTTGTGAAATAATTATTAAATTCATATTTATTAAAATATGTTAACTTTTTAGTTTTTTCAGCAAGATAAAATTCATGTTTTTTGTTCAAATTTTATATTAACTGACCAAACTAATTTATATTTATCTTCTTTTTTATTTAATATATCTATTTCATTATCTCATCTACTATCATCCTCATCTTTTAAATTATTAATTTATAATTTTTTTGTAAATCTTTCATTATTATCTTGTTCTTGTTCTTTAATTTTTTATTTTAATAGATAAATCATTATTCAAGGTTAATTAAGATTACAAAACATTATTTATTAATTAGTTTAAATATGAAAATATATGAAAAATAAGTAAAATTTGAAAATTTAAAAAGGATTTTTTGTTTATTAATTTTGCCATTTTTAATTTATTATATCTTAAAATTTATAATTTTGTTAAATTAAAATTAATATAACATTTTTATCCCAAGTTTTACAGAGTTACACTTTTATATAAAAAAACTTTATTAAAACTGCAATTTCTTTACTTGTCATATAAAATTCATAAAATCAATATAGTAAAACTATTCTGAAATTTACCATTTTATTAAATGTATTATGGTTATACATAATTTTTAAATTAAATAAAAAATTAAATTTCAGATAAATCTTAAAAAATAAACTGATAAAAATGATTAATATATGGTATTTTACTAATTTATCAGTTTAGATTTATATTTTATTATCTTATTTTTAATTTATAAATTTTAAATTACCTGATAATTATATCATTTATAGATAATAATTATTATATGCAATTAATAATTTATCAAGACAAAAAATATTATATTAAATCTATAGTAAAATAGTAAAAAGTATTATAGATTAGTAAACAAATTATAAATTCATTTGTTTATTGTCAAATTATATTAAAACTTAATTATTTATAGACTTAGTTAAAGAGTTTTTACTGAATATTCATATAAGTATTAAAATTATAGCTTATTAATTTAATAGTGATTTAAAGAATTATTATTAATAATTAATATTGATAATGTATATTTTATTGATAATTATATAGGAAAAGTTAATATGTGATAGTTTTTAAGGTCAGTCTTTTATCTTTCTTTAAATTGAATCAGTCTAATTTTTTATTATTCAATACCAGTCTAATCCAATTTAAAATTTGTTTCTTTTCAGTTAACTAATTTATAAGACGATCAAGTCTATTATTTTATATAAAATTTAATATTAAATAAAATTAATAATATTAAAAAAAAATTTTTTTTTTTTTTTCTTTTTTAATCATTTACTAATTATTATTTCTTTTATATAAATTATATATATTAATTTCATTATTATTATAAAGAATTATTAACTTTTTAAGCATGTCTTTTATTTTTATTAATAGTAAAAAAATTTATTTAAATTTTTCTCTAAGGTTACATTTATAGCTTAAATACATAAATATATACTTGTAATAAATAAAATTATTATTAATAATTACTATAAAAATTTTTAATACTTGTAATATCATCTGATATGTATAATATAATTAAAGTAAATAAATATTAAGAAATATCTATTTAATTTTAATTTTTTTGTTTATTAATTTTTATTTTTAATTTTGAATATATATAACTTTATTTTTGAATCTAATAATAAAGAAATTTATGAAATTAGTCTAATTTTTAATAAATTGTATTTGTCATTATATATTATAATAATTTATTATTATTTTTATATTGAATCAAATATTTTAAAATATTAAATATATATAATTATGTGTTACAGAATTAGAAGTTAAAAAAGGTAAAGTATACATTTAAATAATTGTATTAGAAAATTATACTTGGCTTTAAAAAATATTTATTATATAAATAATTAAATAATTTGATTTTCTTTTTATTTATTTAAAAAAAAATTTTAATATTAATTTTTGGTATCTTAATTTTTTCATTTGGTTTTCTTTATTATACATAATTTTCAAAACAAATTTATAAGTTATTTGATAATTTAATTGTTATAATAATAAAAGAAGTACTTAGTATTATTAAATAAATTCAAATAATTAAATAATATAAAAAAGCATATATTATTAACATGAAAGGTTACACGTATAGTACTTATTATTTGCAGCTAATATTAAGGTTTAGAAGAAAAAGTTAATTAAAATAATTAGTTTTAAACCATATAATTAATAATTGCATAATATAGGTTATATTATTAAAAATATTAATATTTAATTAATTTATTTATTTTATTATTAGATAAAAATATTTATTACTAAGTATTAGTAAATTTTTAAACTTTTTAAAATTATAAATTTTTTAAAAAAATTTAGATTAAATCAATAAATTTTAAGATTAATATCTAAATAGATTAACTTGTTATCTGATCTGATCTAATCAACTAATTTAATTTTAATATATTATAAATTATAACAAATTATTTAATTAGAATGATAATAAATAATTTAAAAATAATTGATAATAAATTATTTTATTAAACAAAAATATATTATTTAATTAAAATAATAATAAATTATTTAAGAAAAATAATAATATATCATTCTAATTAAATAATAATAAATAATTCTTATTAAATAATATGTATTTTTTCAATTAGATTAAAGATAAATCATTTTTATTAAACAATAATATATTATTTAACTAAAATAATAACAAATCATTCTTATTAAATAATAATATATTATTCAATTAGAAAAATAATAAATCATTTCTTTTTAAATAATAATAAATTATTTAAAAAAAATAATAACAAATCATTTAAAAAGAAATAATAACATATATTTAAAAAAAATAATTTATTATTATTCTAGTTAAACAATCATGAGTAATTCAAAAAATAAAAAAAAATATTTTAATTGAAAATAATATATTATTTAAAAAAAATAATTCAATTAAATCAAATCAAATTAGGTTAATTAATAATTAAATAAGATTTTATTTAATTGATTTAAATTTTTTCTTCTAGATTAAATAATTTAATTGACCTGACTTATTCAGAATTTTAGTTTTTATTTTATTAATTATCACATAAATAATAATTTTTTTCTTATTTTTACTATATTATATATAATTAAAATATTATATAAAAAGATTGTTAGAAAAATTAGATTTTAAGAATTTTTTAATAAAATTTTGATTTTTATTGCATTTTAAATTTAATATTATTAGATTAAATATAATAAAATCTTAATTTTAATCAAAAAAATTTTTTAGAATCTGATTTTTCTAACAAATTTTATATATTATTAATGTTGAAAATTTACCCTAAAAAAATGATTTACAAAGTCATTGGATTTAATTTCATGTAGATTATATTAAGGAAGATCTTGATCAATATACTGCATTAGAAAGTAATTTGAAGGATTTGCAAAATTCACCTGATTTACCTAATTTATTTGATTGGCTTATTTTATTAAATTCTTCATATTTATTATTTTTATTATAATTATTATTTTTATTATTTCTTTTATTTTTATCATTATTATATTTTATCTTATATTTTATATTTCTATTATATTATCTTTTATTATTATTTTATAAGCAAAGATTATTAAAATAGTTAATTTATAATATAGCAATTAGTTAGCTATAGCAAATTTATTTTGTATAAATAGAATAGTTTTGCTTAAGTTGTAAATTAACTCTTTTGTGAGTTTTAAGTTATTAATAAAGAAATCAATTTAAATCTATACAAATTTACTTTTTCCTTCAATGCTGTCTTTTATCTAGAATTTGTTATAATACTCTATACTAACTTACTATTAAGTTTATTATTATGAGTTTAACTAATATATCTTAAATTCTAAGACGTGATAAATTGCTAAATTGATTCACGTATAACAGATACCTATAAGACTTAGAAAAAATTCAAAAACTCCAATGTGTAGAATCAACTGCTGCAACTTTTCATCTTAGATGTTAAAATAACTAAAAATGAACCTGGTGATAATTTGGTAATTTCTACTAAGAGATAAAACTATTGAGAAAAATAAAGAGAGAAAATAGAGAAGATGAAGTGTTAATTAAAGATCACATAAAGGTTATACAAAAGCTCAAATAGTATCTATCATCTTTGATATCATAGATGCTTGTATAATAATTTGATCATATGAAGTTCATTGAAAATCACTTAACTAAATTCTAAATCTTAATTGAATAAAGAAGATAATGAATACTAAGTTAATATAAGAGTTACAAATATCATTATCTTAACTTTAACTGATTAAAATTTTACGATATTTAGACTATTAAAACTGTTAATCTCAAGGATCACAATGATATGTATTCATTTAAATTAAACTACTGAATAGCAAGATAATTAAAGAAATGTTATTTTATTTTATTTTTATATTTTATAGTATTGGACTATTATAAATTAATAGACAAAATTTTAGTTTTAATTTTTGAGTGATTTTAAAAAAAGATTTTTACTAAACCTAAGCAAAAGTAAGAGTTTTGGGTTTTTCACTCATCCTGTAGAAAAATGAGAGATATTAAAGAAAAGTTTTTAATAGCAAATGATTATAAATGTTAGATACTAGTTGGAGGAAAAATTCCCTAAGGTTTTAAAGTCTGAAGAGTAGAATCATTGTGCTAAAAAATTGAAAAAAGGTTTATCACTTAGCTTGTAATAATGTAAAAGTATTAGAATACCTCAGATAGTAAGATATTTCACTAAAGAATTCCAAAAAGAATAAATTATAATTTTTATAGATTTATTAACGATTTTAGATTTTAGAAATTTTATTTAAAGAAAAGATTTTTAATTACGTAAAATGATAATATTTAATAAATTATGGTAAAAATATAAAGATAATTTTATTGAATTAATAACAATCACATGGTATTAGAAAAAGATTATAAGAGTGAAAGTGAAAGTATCAATAATGTGATTGGCAGTTCTTAAAATAATATTGAAAAAGTAATAAGCAAAAACGCAATAATGTACAAAATTAATTGAATAATCAAAAAATACAAATTTTAAGATACATAAAATGAAAAAAAGAAAAGAAGAAAAGTAAAATCTAGCATAAAAAAGACCAGAAATATGTTGACATCTTGAATTCTACTTTCTTGATGATCCACTTCTTAAGGGATGAGTAACTTTTCTATATGCTTTTTCAAGTGAACAAATTCTATTCTTTTAATAAACCAAAAGAGAAGAAATATTAGTTAGTTCATTTTTTAAGCATTCACATTCAGCAGAAAGTTCAGTATTTTGATTTAAAGAAATTGATAATTGTTCACTTAATGTGAAATTTTCTTGACGAATTTCTTAAATTTCTTGATAAGAATCTGTAGCCTAAATAGAAAAAGGGTGCACATTAGTAATGTGAAGTTAAGCATCTTCAATTAACGAGTACTAGTTCACTAAAAGGTTAGTTTAATAAACCTAACAATATTCTAAATAGTTACATATTGATACAGAACAATAGAGTCTGTAATAACTAATTCTAAGTAAGGAAAACTTATGTTTTGAGAATCTATAGTATAGTAAAAAGAAGAAGACAGAAGTGTTAATATGCTGCAGTCATATTAAATAAGGTCAAACATACTGTCATACTCTTCAAATGAAAGATAGGTTGTATATATATTAATCTATCAGAATAAGCCTATAAGAGATGCATTCTATATATTTTTAATTGTTGTATCTAAACATATTCTTAGATATATTTATCTCACCTTGAGAAACTCTTTCGTTAAAATATTTTCTTTGATGAATTAAAGCTTTATGACAAGTGAAAAAAGATTTTTTTCTTGTTTACTTGAACTATAATAAAGTTAAAAATATTCTAAAAGTTTAAAATTTTGTGATAATTTTGAAAAGAAAAGAAAAATTTTGTGAAAAATAAAAGAAATCTTGGATAAGATATTTATAATCCAAAAAAGTGACTATAAAAAATTCTAAAAATTCTCAAGACCGTGAGAATTATTTTCTTACAGCAAAATAAACAAAAATCTTTTAGATCATATTGGATAATGATCATTGCATAGAAATCTATAAAACAAAAACCTATTTAAAATTGGCATAGTTGATCAATATTACTAAAATTAGATGATTATGTAATATTTGCATAGCACATTTTTGATTAACATTTCTTTATTTAGTATAAAATTCAGGAAATTTTCATAAGCTGCATAATTTTAAGAATTTGATAAAATGTATATATGAAAATCAAGAAATATGAAAATGTTAGTTTTCTTGAAAAAGAAATTACTTGTAATATTTATATAATTTATACATGAAGAAAAGTTAAATAGCATAATCAATTGATCAAAAGTTAATATTAAATTTATGTTTAATAATTTTCTCATAGTAGAGTTCTTAAATTTTAGATTTTAATGAAATTTCCTGATGTAGAAAGAGATTAAATATATTATAGACAAAGATCAAATAAATGTAATCAAATCACTAAGTATATAGTTTTATTTACAAAATGATTAATAAAATATATAACCAGTCACAATTACCATTCCAATTCAATGAATTACTAGCAAAGAAAAATTTCAAGAAAAAGACCAAATAAAAATAGATATCTCAACTACCATCCATACTCCCTAATTAAAGTCAATATCCAACTTTCTCACAAATCTTTGTAAAATAATCACTATTCCAGAAATGTCTCCTTTTGATAAAAGTTTTCAACTTCTAATGTATTTATTCGTTGCCTTAATGATTCTTCATGATCAGATTAATCAGAAGTTATACGAGTGAGCCTTTTTACCATTATTAGTTTTTTTCTTTCTTCTTTTTGTACTTAAACATATAGTTCAGTAGTTCTTTGAAGTTTATTTCTTTAAGATATGCAAAAAGTTTTCATATATTCAGCTCTTTTTTGAGAAAAATTTTGAGAAGTGTTTGAAGAAGGCATTATTAGATTTTAAAATTTTTTTTTAAAAAACTTTAAGAAAAAAAATTGATTTTGAAAAATTTAATTGATACGTATAGAAATTATATTTAAAGAAAATAATTAATCACGTAAGCTCAATTAGATAATCACTCAAAATTAAAGTATTTATATAAAAATTTGAATCTCATAATTCTAAAAATCAACAAATTTCAGCCTTATATAATGTTAGAAAAACTTATGTTTATAAGATCGATTGTGGATAAATTATGAATAGTAGACTTTTCTAAAATAGATCGCGTCTATAAATGGTGGAATGTTTGCAAATATTTTTTTTTGAAAAATTTTTAGAAAATTTAATTTTAAGGATAAAATTATTTCTCACTATGACATTCAAAATTAAGTGAGAGAAGGATTGTTAGCATTGAAAATTTACTTTAAAAAAATGATTTACAAAGTCATTGGATTTAATTTCATGTAAATCATATTAAGGAAGATCTTGATCGACATACTGCATTAAGAAATAATTTAATGGATTTGTAAAATTCACTTGATTCACCTGATTTATTTGATTGGCTTATTTTATTAAATTCTTTATTATTTTTGTTATAATTATTATTTTATTATTTCTTTTATTTTTATCATCGTTATATTTTATCTTATATTTTATATCTCTATTTTATTATCTTTTATTATTATTTTATAAGTGAAATTTACTAAAATAGTTAGTTTATAACGTAGAAATTAGTTAGCTGTAGCAAATTTATTTTATATAAATAGAATAACTTTTTGCTTAAGTTGTAAATTAACTCTTTTGCAAGTTTTAAGTTATATAAAGAAATCAATTTAAATCCATAAAAATTTACTTTTTCTTTTACTTTTTCTTTTAATACTATCCTTCATCTAGGATTTATTATGATACCCTATATTAACTTGCTATTAAGTTTGTTATTACAAATTTGACTAATATATCTTAAATTTTAAGATGTGATAAATTGCTAAGTTGATTCAAGTATAATAGATATCTGTAGAACTTAGAGAAACTCCTAAGATCAGAAACTCCAACATATAGAATTAACTGCTATAGCCTTTCATCTTAGATGTTAAGATAACTGAAAATGAACCTGATAATAATATGCTAATTTTATAGATATCTTACATATAAACATTTTATAAAAAAAAGAAAGGAAATTATAAAAAAAATTTTTTTAGTTTACTAAGTTAAATATTATTTTTTTTTTAATAAAATAAATCCAAATTTAACATTAATTCAAAAATATTTTTTTGGTAGTTTTTCCTTTTTTTACTATAAAATGTCTATATATTAATTTAAATTATAATTTAAATTATAATAAATATTAGCCTAAATTTTTTTTAACTAATTTTACTAATTTTTTAATATTAATAAATTTTAGATTTAATAAATTCAGTATTACTAAAACTTTTTTACTTTTTATAGATTGGATTTGATTTAATCAATTTTGCAAAATACTAAATAAAAAAATTATTTAATATTTAATAAGAACAATCAAAATATTATTCTTATTAAACATAAAACATCATTAATGAAAATAATTAAAATTATTATTTTTATTAAACTATAAAAAAATCATTTGATATAAATTACTAAAAATTATTATTTAAAAGAATAATAAAAAATTTGTTTAATATAAATGATTAAATTATCATTCTCATTAAATAATAAAAATATTATTTATAAGATTAATCAAAATTATTATTCTTATTAAATAATATATAATTTTTGAATTAATCTATCAAATCAGAAATTTTATGATCGAAATTTTAGTTTAGATTTGAATTAAAATTTTTAGAATTCATAATCTGAATCAAACTAAACCAAAATTTAGTTTTATTTTAGATTGATTAATAATCTGAATCAAATTAAATTGATTAAATTTTTATTTGATTATAATTAAATATATTTTTTTTATCTTAATAAATTAAAATATAAGATGATATTACACAACTATTTATATATATTTTATAATTAAATATTATTGATCTTAAAATAATTCACTAAAGATTTAATTAACTATTTAAAAATTTTATAAATATATACTTTAAACTGATCTTTTTTATTTAAATTTATGTGATCCATATAATTTAATAATTTAACATAATTATATAAGGATTTTTTTTTATCTTTATAGTAATATTTAATTAAAATTAATTATATATTTAATATTTAAACAAAAACTGATTATATAAAAATAAACAATTATAATAAATTAATAAATAAAAAAAAAAAGTTTAAGATAATTATTTATTTACTATTTTCTTTTTTCTTTATTTTTGAAATTTTTAAAATGTAACACTTAATACTTAATGAGCATAACATAAATGTTATCAAACTTTCAAGTAACCAAAGAAAACAAAATTTCTTTTTTTAATATACTAGTAAAAAATTCTTTTGATAGCAATTGTTAGCCAATTAAATTTTGATGATCATCAAACTAACCAATCAATTAACTAGTCTATAATTATAAAAATAATAGTGATATTTTTCTACCAAAACTCAGACTATATACCTTTTAACTTCTATAACAATTACCGTTTAAAATAAACAATACAATATTTTCTGGCAACAAAAATTTATCAATAAAAAATATTTAAATACTCAAACTCAGACCTTATATATATAGCTATATATTTTAAGAACCTTTTTCCTAGAAACGGATGAAGTTATTAATGAAATAGAGAAAAAAAAAGGTTGAAAACGATGAAGCTGTTGAAAAGTACTAGGAGGAGAAAGAGGTTGAAAAGATGGAGAAAAATGAACGAGAAGATACAGAAGATAATGGTTCCTGGGAAGATGATGAAATTGATGAAAGCCATCAAAGGAAGGTTGGCCGTTCATACCTAGGAAACGCTGGATGGGCCACCTGGAGATGGGCACCTGCTAAACTAATGGCCCCATTTCAAGTTCTAAAATGAACCAGAAGATAATGGTTCTAGGCTATCGAAATGCATTTACCAAATGATGAAATAGCCGTTGTTATTAGCATATAGTAATACTAGCAGCTTGTTTCTTTAGTTATATTAGTTATCTTTATTTATTAATTATAATAATTGTTATATTTATTAGTGTTTTTTATATATATAAATTCTTTATTTTTTTATTTTAAGTGCGACAGATTTGCACAATTTTTTACATACATAACATATATTTCTAGACCGTGTTTATAAACCAAACTCTTATTTTCTAATCCTATTCTCCTACCCTCTAATAATAAAATATAAGCTCTTATTTTCTAATCCTATTCTCCTACCCTCTAATAATAAAATATAAACTCTTATTTTCTAATCCTATTCTCCTACCCTCTAATAATAAAATATATAATGTTCGTTAGAAGTTGAACTAACAAGTAAATCCAAGACGAATGAGATTATAAATTAATTATCGTGTCTTCGTTTTCAGTCATCTAATGGGAAAAGATTAAGATGATAAGGTAAAAATGAGATATAAACAATTTTGACATTATAAAATTTCCTTATCAGAAAGTCATTTCTTGGACCATGAATAATAATAATAATGATAGTGAAAATGACGTCTTCTAATACATTATAATGATATTTTTTTTAGGATGTACTTATGAACTATGTAGACAACAAATCTAATAGCGGTAGGATGCGGGATCTACATATCATATCATAATAATTAATTAAACTAACCGATTACATTAATATTTAATAACATTGCATTACGCTTGTCCAGTTGATAGTAACAACAATCCATCTCCATGATTTCATCCATGCTAAGCATTGTAAATGCATACATACAAGTTTTCCATTATGAATCATATCACGACGTTCTTCTAGGACAATTCCTAGAGGCCACAAGTTCAAAAATTAATCTTGTTGCTTCAATTGAATTTCCACCAAGATCAAAGAAACTAATCAGTATATATATAAGCAGATTGAAAAAGGTTGTGTCAAAATATCATGAATTTACTGTTCGAATTAGCTCCAGTAGTTGACTGTGATGTAATTCGGCAACATCAGGTAAAG